GGCACCTCTTGTTGGTCGGGTGCAGCCATCAAAGCCCCATCTCTGCATCCTCCTCGGGAGGCACCTCCCAGCTCTGCACAGGCTGCGGAGAGCTGCTGGCCCACTCACCCAACGCTGCAAGTCCCCAGGGTCCAGTCTTGGCAAGGCCCCAGCCACTCCTTGGTGTCTCTCCTATTCCGTTTGGTGGTTGATTTTCCCCAACAGCCTGCCCATCACCCCACCCACAGCTGCTCCTCCCAGTGGGCACCCTATCCTAAATGAATGACCTCGGCTACCTGCTCTGTCCCCTCAGCCATCTCCACCTGCCTTTCCCTCCTGGCCGCCACCCTCACCCCATCCCCTCCAGCACGCACTCCCTGGCCATCCCCATGTTTACCTGGGGATCTTTACTGTCTCCCTGTCTATATTACCTTATTTTTTAAAAAATATTTAAAAGAACATCATCCTGGAAAATAGATAAAAGCATAATGAGAAAAACAACTGCCTGCAATCCCACAGCTGTGAAAAGCACTCTCAGGACTGAGGCGTGTTCTCCACATAAACACTCTACAAGTGCCCGCGTGTGCCCATGGCTCTGGTGGACTGTCCCATTGGTGGAAGGCCCCAGGGGTCTCATTCTTCAGTGCAAGTGGAAAGGGCCCCACCCAAGTTAGGTACTGAGCCTGGACACCCAGGCACCTCCTGTGAAAGACCCAGGAAGTGGGCAGGGACTGCCGCAGGCCCTTCATGGCTGCACGCAATCAAAGCTATCGCTTTACACAGGAGCCCAGACGGCTCCAGGTTCTGAGAGTGAACCACCGAAGCCCACACATCTGACCCCGTCAGTCAGGTGCACAACTTCTGGGGCACCCCAACGTCACCTCTAAAGATGGGAAGAGAAGCAGGAAAAAAAAAGGATGGAGGGTGGAGAGGGGCTGGCAGTGATAAGTAAGCCTGAGCTTTCCTCCTATTGACTCAACACATGACAATGGCAATAATTACAACAATAATCCTCATAACACAAAAGCTGGCCCCTGCTGGGAGCTCAGTTGTGTCACGTCCATGGGCTGCGGCTGTTTACCTTAGTTCCGCAAAGCATGGCACTCTTCACTGAGAGCTGGTGGTGGCCGGGAATGGGCATCTGTATCTATTCTGGCATGCATTAGACAAGCTATAGCGTATCGAACCCTTAATATCACAGACATGAATAAAATAGGTTTAAAGAGGAAGTATGAAAGATGGTAGGAGTAGTGAAGATGGTCACAAGGGCTGCAGTTTGGGGAAACACCGTCTTGTCTCACTGGATCCTCTCAGCAGCTGTTCTGTTGAGGATGGGTGGCACCTGGGGAGTGGTGCCCGGGCTTAGGACTCGTGCCTGCCTGACCCCAGAGCCTGGGCCCTTCTCACCCTGGGCCCTCCTGAGGCAGGCTCTGCTTCGTCCCTTGGTCCTCGCTCTGCTGACTCACCCACTGGCCCCTCGTTGGCCCACCCACTGGTAGACAAATAAGGTAAAAACATGGCACCCATCTCCCCACAGGTCTCTATTTTTTGGTGGTGCTGCCCCAAAGGGCAAACAGGTTTATTGGGACCGCAGCCAGGTAATCAACAGTGGGACTTAACATTTATTTGAAAAACCACAGAGGCAGAAGAAGTAATTCATAGAAGAGACAGGCTTCAGAAACAAGCTATAGAGGTAAAGTAAAGACCCTTGGAACTTAGAAGTAAGGAAAGTAAGGTGACATGTGTGTGTGGGGGGGATATGAGGAAGGAAGGGGAAAAGGCGCAGGGCAGGGGTGGGCAAACTTTTTGACTCGAGGGCCACAATGGGTTCTTAAACTGGACCGGAGGGCCGGAACAAAAGCATGGATGGAGTGTTTGTGTGAACTAATATAAATTCAAAGTAAACATCATTACATAAAAGGGTACGGTCTTTTTTTTTTTTTTAGTTTTATTCATTTCAAACGGGCCGGATCCGGCCCGCGGGCCATAGTTTGCCCACGGCTGGCGCAGGGCGTACTCCTGGGGGGGAGAGGGATGGGTCCTCCTCCATCCTAAGGGTTTTAAGGGTTGAGATTTAAGGGGGTGACCCAGGGGAAGATCTTAATAGAATGTTCATCAGCTTTCCAAGTGTGTCCTTTCAGGGTCAGGGTCTCCACTGATTGGTTGGCACCAGGGCAGGGGGTCATTATTCAATGCAGCTTGGTCCTGAGGTCATGGTGTTGCTTGTCACATTTTGCTGCTTTTCTGGGCCTGCAGCTAAAATACTACTGAGGCCTAGATGTCATCTCTAGGGAGGAAAGGTCACCCTGGGACAAGTGTCCTTTGCTAGGCACCCAGGGCTTTCTGCCCTGGTGACCTTCATCTTCCTCCTTTAAAAAAAAATTATTTTATTGATTTTTTTACAGAGAGGAAGGGAGAGGGATAGAGAGTTAGAAACATCGATCAGCTGCCTCCTGCACATCCCCCACTGGGGATGTGCCCGCAACCAACATACATGCCCTTGACCGGAATCGAACCTGGGACCTTTCAGTCTGTAGGCCGACACTCTATCCACTGAGCCAAACCGGTCAGGGCCATCTTCCTCCTTGACAGCAGAGGAGTTGGAGGAGCCCTTGGCCACGTTGATGAGCTCACCTCACTTGGTGATGGTCCTGATGCTCTGGAAGGCAGCCTCTCGGGCACCTGAGCATCGCAGCCAGATGGCCTGATTCACACAGCACAGCTGTCGCCTCACAAGCCGGCTCACCCATCGCGAGTCGCCGTCCTCTCGGGGCCACTGTCAGTGATGGCATTCACCACGACCTGCGGGGCGGGGGTGGGAGTGGGGGGCGGATTCTCGCCAGTGAGCAGATGGACGACCTGGAAGGCATGCCCAACGATGCCCATAGTCACGAGCTCCATGCCATTGCTGCGGCCGTGCATCACAGTGAGTTGGTGAGGGGCTCCACAGTGGGCACTGTGCCTGGCAGGAGTGTTTTGCCGCATGGTGCCCTGCACTATGGGGCAGGTACTTGGCACACTTCTTCACCGCAAGGTGATCCTGCACAGAAATGCCACTGATCTGTCCATCGCCATTGCTCTACTTTCTGAAGAGTTTGACTTCAGGGTCTCTGCTCCTGCAGGTGCAGCCGCCTCCCACTGGGTCATCCTGAGAGTGCAGCTGCGGGGGGAGGGGGGTATCTCTGCCACTCTGCGGGGACCACGTGCCACCCTGTCTGGACCACGTGCCGCCCTGTGAGGACCACGTGCCGCCCTTCCTGGACCACGTGCTGCCCTGCCGGAACCACGTGCCGCCCTGTGAGGACCATATGCCGCCCTGCCTGGACCACGTGCCGCCCTGTGAGGACCACGTGCCGCCCCCCCCGGACCACGTGCCGCCCTTCCTGGACCACATGCTGCCCTGCCGGAACCACGTGCCACTCTGCAGGGACCACGTGCTGCCCTGGAACAGACAGGAAGAGCCCCACAGTGTTACTGGTCCTGTCCTCTGAGGCATCTGTGGCCAGCACAGCCAGCACAGGGTGGTTGAGTTCAGGAGCATTTATGCAGCCACTAAGTAGGGTGCCCCTTCCTGGGGAGGAGACGCCTGGGTGGTGTGACTGGGTAACGTGGATGGGCAAGCCTGCCGTGGCCGTCACGGCTTTCTGGGGCCTCCCTGTAGTCAGACCGACCCAGGAATGGCAGGTCTGGACATTTCTCCCGGCCACAGGCCACACCGGCAGCCTCTTGGGGACAGGAGCAAGGGTGGCTCATCGTGCTTTTCCAGACCTGTTGCATGTCAGCACAGGACAGCGTGACCCACCTCTGGCCAAACCCTCCTCAGAGGCAGGGCGAGCCCAGACAAGGCGCCGTTGCCCTGAGGCTTGGACGTGTCTCTCCAGGAAGGATCATCTTCCATCCCTTGTAAGGACAGAGAACAAGAAGCAGGCGCCAGGCCATGGGAGCAGGTGGCAGGGAGAGACAGAGCGACCCTGGGGGATCTTGTGGGATCCAACTCAGAACCATCAGCTCTGCCAGGACCAGAACAAGAACATGAAGAATTCAGGTCAGGTTTGAGCTGAAACTTCTGTCAGTGAAAGTGCTGCCTGTCCACCAGTCATCGTGACCCTAGTGTGTTAATGATAATCTAATAAGTTCCATTACTGGGCACCCAGTAGCTGTCAGGCACTGGGCTTGATCGTCGGTAAGCTCCGTGGTCCTCACACAGTGTCTGACAGAGCTACGGGTACTATGCCCACTTCACTGACACCTGCCCCCCCTGCAGGTCTGGCTCACAGCATCCTTGCAGAACCCTCTGGGCCCACCTTGGGCTTCTCCTCTGTAATAATCAGTCTATAATTAAAGGAGTCTAATCCTAATGATACTAGTAGCCTCCATTCTCCAGGGGCTGCCTGCTAGCCCCACATCACCTCTCCCTTTGGGGGCCCCATTTACAGATAAGGTACCTGGGCTCAGACAAACTAAACTGTCCACGGTCAGCTGGCCAGCAAGTGACAGAGTGGGGTCCAAAGCCACGTCTGTCAGACTCCTTAACCTCTAGTTGATTATTCAACACCTGCCCCACCCAGGCCACGAGTCCCCAGGGTCAGGGACCACACCTGCTCCGCTCACAGCCATCTCCCAGAGCCAGAACTGCTATACGACAGGCGCTCAGTAAATATTTCTCAAATGAAAGAACGAGGGGGAAAGATGTATCAGTCAGAACTGTTGTGGTTGCAAGTGACAGAAACTCACCTGAAACTAGCTTCAAAGTGGGGGAAGGATCCTAGAATGGCTCACAAGACCAGGGGCTGCACCACAAAACCAGGCAGCCTCAGGACGGCCCAGGGATGGTGGGGTGGGGGTGAGGGCTCAGTGGGAGGAGAATGCTGGGCGACAAAGAGAACAGCCATCCTGCTAGGTGACCTTATCAAACAGGAAGTGGTCTCAGTTAGCCAAGTGTGATTTCAGCTTTTTGTCCAACTCAATTACTGCTCAGTACAGGACAGTTAAAGATACAACCCTGCTGTGAACCGAATGTTTGTGTCCCCCTGAAATTCATATGTTGAAATCCTAACCCCAAGGTGATGGTACTAGAAGGTGGGGCCTGTAGGGGTCATTCAATCATGAGGGTGGAGCCTTCATGGGTGGGATTCATGCTCTTATAAAAAAGACTCCAGAGAGCTCCTCCCTCCTCCCACGGTGTTCAGACCCCCAGGAAGACAGCTGTCTGTGAACCAGGAACAGGGCCCTCACCAGACACTGAATCTACCAATGCCTTGATCTTGGACTTCCCAGCCTCTAAAACTTTGAGAAATAAATGTTTGTTGTTTATAAGGCACCCAGTTTACAGTAGAGATGCTCCTCAACTTCTTATGGAGTTATGTCCCAATAAACCCATCATACATTGGAAATATAAGTTGAAAATGCAACTGTAGAGCAGCGGTTCTCAACCTGTGGGTCACGACCCCTTTGGCGGTCGAACGACCCTTTCACAGGGGTCGCCTAAGACCATCCTGCATATCAGATATTTACATTACGATTCATAACAGTAGCAACATGACAGTTATGAAGTAGCAACGAAAATAATTTTATGGTTGGGTCACAACATGAGGAACAGTATTTAAAGGGCCAGAAGGTTGAGAACCACTGCTGTAGAGTATTGGTTGTTCACCCTGTCCCATGTCTGTCTGAACTGCCTGCCCTAACCGCTGGCAGACTGTAGCGGCCCTCACTGGGCCTGCGCTCGGGAGACATGAGATCTGCTCACGCAGGAGGCACCTGTCAGTGTGGGAGGGACCTGGTCTGGTCTGGTCCCCTCAGTGCAGGAGGTGACTTGGGTTTCCTAGGGCGTGTGCAGCTATGTCCTGGCCCCTCCATTGCTGAAGAGCAGCCGAGCACCCCTTCTCCGCCAGAAGGGACACATGTCCCAACAGCCTCTCTAGGCTGGTGTGCCACCTGGGCAGCCACAGCTCCTGCCCCGCTGCAGCCTCTGTCCTCTTCACATGGAGACACAGCAGCATCTGGGGTAGGTTTTGTCATCCCGTGAGGGCCACAGGGAACTAGAACGGGAGGGGGGACCCCTCTTCCCGACACCCAGATCCTTTAAGTCCTGGTGATCCCACAGAGTCCCACCTTCAGAAGTCTTTGTACCAGAAACAGGCACCAGTTTCTATGTTCAATATGACCCAAACTTCAGGGGCTAAATCAATCACCCTCTTCCTCCTCTTCCCCAGAGAGGGAGAGGGGGTCTGAAAAGCATGTGGCCCCCTATTCTCAGCTCCCGGGTGGGGGGCTCTCCCGAGGGTCTGCAGCTCATTACCTGCCCAGTCTTTGAAAAGGGTGCCCCCAGAGCCTCCTTGCTTAGCTTGGGGAGAAGCAGCTGTCTCAGCTCAAAACTACACTTGTTTGAGTCCAGGACCCTCCTCTTCCTCACAGCACCCATCCTGGATTTACAGGAGGGGGTGTGGGAAGGGGGAGGGCAGGGAAATCATGCACTGTATATTATACAGCTACTCTCAGCTGTTCCGAAGCTCTGTGTGTTAACAATAAGGGGGTAAGGCATTTACTTTTACTTAATACATGCAGCAGTTCAACGATAGAGAAACAAAGAGCTGGTCAGTTCTGGGGCCAGACCTCGCTCTGAGTGACCCTGGACAAGACTCCTGACTCTTCTATGCTCAGCTTCCTCATCTGCACCGTGGAAGTTAGTCATCGTATCCCCAAGAAGCTGTGGGCTTCCACACTGTACCTGGTACAGTCCCCATAAACCTCACAGCACACTCGGTGGCCATTATTATTTACTAGAGACCCGGTGCACAAAATTCATGCACTCGGAGCAGTCTCTCAGCCCAGCCTGTGCCCTCTCGCAGTCTGGGAGACCTCAGGGGATGTCCGAATGATGCGGAGACGGGAGAGGCTCCTGCCACCGCCGCTGTGCTCGCCAGCCGTGAGCCTGGCTTCTGGCTGAGCAGC